CACACACACACACACACACACACACACACACACACACACACACACACACACACACACACACACCACTGCCCTGTGACCAAACATCGCACAAAGTGTTCAAATCGATGAAATCCAGGAGGACAGAAATAGTCCCACAGATTTAACAACCTGTTTATCAGTGAGATTCAGAGCAGCTGTTTTCCAGAGCCATGCTAACAGTTTCCCTCTGTTTCCAGTCTTTATGCTAAGCTATGCTAACTGACTTTAATTCCCCAAAATGTCTTAAAGAGGCCCTATTGTGTTTTCCGTGGTGTTCCCTCTCCTGTAGTGTGTCACATAGGTTTGTGTGCATGTAAATGGTCTGCAGAGGTTACATTCCCTGTGTATAGGGCCTCTTTAAAGGTCGACCCCTACACTTCCAGACAGTAAGTGAATTATATACAATTGACAGAAACAGGAAGCTTGAGTTTCCTCTGATTGTTGGAAACACTGTCGGGTTTTATTACATAAAAACAGGAAATATAAAAAAGAGGAATACCTGAAAGTAGTCGGTGATGAAGGAGCCCATCTCTGTTTTGAGGAGCCATCTGAAAACAGAGGAGAGGTTTTATAAATCTGTGATTCAACGCTGAGAAAGGAGAAGAAGAAGAAGTTGTTTTGGTCACCTGATGCTCTCGTTAAGCGTGAACAGCTCGTTAGGCTGCAGCGCCGAACCCTGAAACACCTGCATCACTGCTGACTGCACGCTGAGGACACACACACACACACACACACACACACACACACACACACACACACACACACACACACACACACACACACACACACACACACACACACACACACACACACACACACACACACACACACACACACACACACACACACACACACACACACACACACACACACACACACACACACACACACACACACACACACACACACACACACACACACACACACACACACACACACACACACACACACACGTTGAAGTTTAGACATATAACATTTGTAGCCGATTAAATACCAGTAATATTCCACACTTCCACGGTTCAAAAATACATACAACAATACATCTTGTGTACTTAAAAACTCTCCTTTCACAAGTTTATACTGAACACATCATGATGGAATATAATTGACATTTGCCTAACGCTGCTGTTTACTGAATGGAGCTTGAACGCATCATAGTGCAGCTCCAAGGACCCGGATTACATTTTTTACATTAGATTTCAGTAAGTCAAATCAAATCAAAGTTTATTTATAAAGCACATTTAAAAGCAATTTTTGGTCCGGCCAAAGTGCTGTACATGTAATAAATACTACAATCATAAAAACACATTACTACAATCACAATAAAAGACAATAAATTACAACAGATATATAAAAAATAAAAAACCACACAGGGAAAAGTCAGGAGTCGTGCTCCGCTCTGACTAGAAGGCCAGGGAGAAGAAGTGTGTTTTTAGTGTAGATTTAAAAACCCCCTAGGGTCTGGGCCGACCTCACATGGAGGAGCAGAGTGTTCCAGAGCCTAGGGCCAGCTGCTGCGAAGGCTCGGTGCCCTCAGGTTTTGAGCCTGGTCTTGGGCACTATCAGCAGCAGCTGGTCAGCAGACCTTAAAGCTCTGGCTGGGGTGTAGCGCTGGAGGAGTTCAGCTATATAGGCCGGAGCCAGCCCATTTAGGGCTTTAAAAACAAATAAAAGGAGTTTAAAATCAATTCTGAACCGAACTGGAAGCCAGTGCAGTGAGGCCAGAATTGAGGTGATGTGGTCACGCTTTTTTTTTTTAGCTGACGCTTTTATCCAAAGCGACTTACAATGACCAATTACAGGGACATTCTCCCTGGAGTAACTAAGGGCGCACTAGTGGTGGTGTTCCTGGCGGGATTTGAACTCACAACCTTCCGATCTTCAGCACACCACACCACGGATGCTAACGAATAGCAGCTAACGTAACTAGCTCTACTGCGTATTCATTATTTTATAACAAAGCATCAAAATTGATAACTTTTTCAACATATTGTGGGAACATATTTAATTTTGTAAGGAAACAAAAGCTGTCAGATGAATGTAGTTCAGTAAAAAGTATAAAATGCCATTAAATAGCTATAACGTTTCTAAGATATTCAACAAGACGTTTTTTGGTGCAAATCGCAAAGAAATTGCTAACTTTTTCTCCATAGGAATGAATGGGAAGTCGACCTGAGCTCAAAATCACCCAACTTTGAGGTCTTACTGCTTCGCCATACTTTATCAGAGGAACAAGATTCAAAGTTTAAACAGCTCTCCAGACTCTCTACTTCGTTGGACTGAAAGCTTTTTTTAATAGATGGAACTGTTTTCCTAAAATCACTGTTTAAAGTTTAGTGAACTTTTCAGATTTTCTAATGGGTGTGTATGTGACGGAATGTTCAGAGTGATGACATCATCACTTAGAGTGTCTTTAAAATCTCCTGAAAAATACATTAAAGCTGCTATACTATAAATCCCATAATATTCACTCTTTTCACATGATTACTGTAGCAGAGTTAGTGAGCGTTGTCTCGATGTCTTCATGATATCAAATCCAGTTACAAATCTGACCGTAAAGAGCCCTAAGTGACACACACATGCACACACAGGATGTGTTCAGACTTTCTCTACCACTCCTTCAAAATAAAAGAAGAGCAACAGACAGCCCCTTTATGTGTGTGTGTGTGTGTGTGTGTGTGTGTGTGTGTGTGTGTGTGTGTGTGTGTGTGTGTGTGTGTGTGTGTGTGTGTGTGTGTGTGTGTGTGTCACAGCTGGTTGACAGGAAGTGGCCCTGGCTGCCACCTCCACTTCCTACTAAACATCCTGCGACGACAGGAAGCTTCCGGAGAGTTTTACAGCCTTTCTTCCAGCTTTCAAGCCTCGACCAGCGCTCACGTTATCAATTACAGATATTTAAAAACTGAGAGTCTATTTGAATTTCTTATAATTAAATATTTTGATTTTATTGCACACATAGGACTGCATTAAGTCAAGAAAATGTTGTTGTATTATGAAGATAAATAAATAAAAATATATATATATATTCTCTTACAGTGATCAATCTGAGCCAATGACACACAGTATTTACATCCCTCCTTTTCTGTAATATTATTACAGAAAATAAAACAAATCTGACAAAACCTGTTGTGGAAAACAGCACACAGCACTTTAAAGCTCATGTTTAGACCCATAACACACACACACACACACACACACACACACACACACACACACACACACACACACACACACACACACACACACACACACACACACACACACACACACACACACACACACACACACACACACACACACACACACACACACACACACACACACACACACACACACACACACACACACACACACACACACACACACACACACACACACACACACACACACACACACACACACACACACACACACACACGTACGTTCAGGTGTATGTCAGTATGTAGTGTCTCTACTTTAAAGAGTCCTCTACTGCTGATGTTCAGGTGTATATCAGTATGTAGTGTCTCTACTTTAAAGAGTCCTCTCCTGCTGATGTTCAGGTGTATATCAGTATGTAGTGCCTCTACTTTAAAGAGTCCTCTCCTGCTGATGTTCAGGTGTATATCAGTATGTAGTGTCTCTACTTTAAAGAGTCCTCTCCTGCTGATGTTCAGGTGTATATCAGTGTGTAGTGTCTCTACTTTAAAGAGTCCTCTCCTGCTGATGTTCAGGTGTATATCAGTATGTAGTGTCTCTACTTTAAAGAGTCCTCTCCTGCTGATGTTCAGGTGTATATCAGTATGTAGTGTCTCTACTTTAAAGAGTCCTCTCCTGCTGATGTTCAGGTGTATATCCGTACGTAGTGTCTCTACTTTAAAGAGTCCTCTCCTGCTGATGTTCAGGTGTATATCCGTACGTAGTGTCTCTACTTTAAAGAGTCCTTTATACATTTCAATCAAAATGCCCAAATCATTTCCTCAGCTAAGCACGTTATATTTACTTTGATGACCTTTTGAAACAATTTAATTCACAACTTCCTGTATTTCAAACCTTTTTTAAATGTGTCTGAAAGTGTGTGTTTCATTACTTGCTGTGTAAGAGGTCAGCTAAGGGTCGTCACAATGCATTCTGGGAAATGTAGTACATCAATAAGGATAGGAGAGACACTGAGTAAACATATTAAATGTTTAAATCACCTGTTCCACACTCTGGTGTTGGAGAGCGACGGGGAGCTGGCGTGGAACCGGGCCAGGTCAGAGAGAACCGGAGAACTCATGAAGCGAGGCCGAGGGCGCCGGAAAGATCCCATCATGCACCTTGGCTGCTGAGGGGAGGGGGGACAAACAGTTAGATAAACAGCATCGTCATCAGCGTACTAAGACATTTATAGAAACAGCTAATTCAACTGTAGATTTACAGAACGTTAGCATGTTAGCATGTTCTACGTCATGTTTACATTATGTTCTACGTCATGTTTACATCAGGTTTTATTTGTTGAACGTCGTTTTTTACTTCATTCCTGATATCGTGTTTAGATCAAGTTTTAGACCATGTTTGCATGTTTTACTGCAAAAAGTACTCCGCTTTCACACCGGAGTACTTTTCCCCCCGAACTAGGCCGATAGGGGGGAGATTTGGTTTCACACCAAAAATATCTGGAACTAGTCACTAGTTCACGCGAACCTTTCGCCCCCAGATAGTCCCTGCTAGATTCGCCCAGGGCACCAACGCTGAGAGACTAACTTATGGCAACACAGTAGAAAACATGGGAGCGTTGGAGATGAGGAGGTGTCGGCGCTTCTGGCGATTTACTCGGAAGACGCGACCCAGCAGCTTCTACTGAAGCCAGTCCCCAACTCCGGGGACTTCCGGCCGGGGACTCCGGGTGGCAGTATACGCCGTGAAGTTGTTTGCGGCCTGCCAGTAAACCCAAAGCAGAAGAAGAAGAAGTGACGTCAGCGGCTCATTTGCGTAATCCTCCCCCAGGGACTTATTCCGGTGTGAACGCGATCTACCAGGACAGTTCCAGGGACTAAAGCGTTCGGGGGGAACAAGTACCGGGGACTAACGGCCCGTCCACACAGCAGCGTTAAAAAAATCTTGGAGGTGGGCGTATCTGAAGCTTGAGGATTTTTTGGGAGCAAGGCACCAACAACCAATCACATGAATCTCCCGCCCCCGACATACGAAGCAAAAAAGCCCGAAGTAAACTGGATATAAACTCCCCAAACAGGAGAAAAGCTACCACTGTCTCTGCCACCTCCCTCCATGCCTGGCTCCTCCGGTTTGTATCCCGGTAGGTAAATAGGGACTGGTCATAAAGCACCGGGTGATTCCCTACCGCTCATTTCTCCTCCATGTTTTGGAATATGAGGAAATGACCTGCGGTATGTCTCTCCCAGCATACACGCCGTTTGATTGGCTAGCGCTTGAACTGTCAGATTTGCATACACAGGATTTGATTGGCTGACGCTTCCACCTCAGCCTCAAAAGTTGAACATTGCTCAACTTTTGAATCCTGAAAATCCTGGAAATCTTCGCTCTGCTTCCCACAATGCAGTTCGGCGAAAAGTGAGGCAAAGTGACGTCACCCCATTCAAAGTGAATGGGCAGAAGCGTTCCAAGATTTTTTAACGCTGCTGTGTGGACGGGCCGTAAGTACCGGCTCAGTACTTGGTGTGAAAGCGTGAATTACGTTTACATCAAGTTTTATAGCATGTTTTACATCATGATTTTCATCCTCCCATATTCCTTATTGCCTGAAACATGGAGCCCATCTCCTCTCCCGTGACTTTCCTAAAGAGTCATCAAAACTCAAAGTCAAAGTGTTTTTATAAAGTTTACAAGGACATTCTTAAACATTTTTCAGGGGCAAAAAGTTCTTATTTTGCTTACAGAGAGCAGCGGTTTGGGAACAAGTTTCGTGCCCCGGACCCCCCGAAAGCAGGGGGGGTCCAAACTTTTTTCACCGAGGGCCACATACAGGGAAATATAGGAAGGTCTGGGGCGCTCGCTAGAGGTGTGTTGCCTCATAAAGTGAGTTATAAGTTAGCAAAATCAATCAAATGTAAGTCAATTATTCCTGATACTTGAAAATTGCTTTGAGAAACAACGGCCTTCATCCCAGCTCTCCATTGGTCGAGTTAGCAGCTCATCCCTTCAAACAGAAGCTTCAGATTGCTGATAAGAGGAAATATGAAGGTTTATTTCAAGCTTGTTATGTAATGAAGTTATTGGGCTTTTTTTTAAGATTTGTTGACTTTAATTGACTGAATTCATTTGAAAAGTGGGCTCATTAACACATAAATACTAAGAAGTACAAGATATGACATGCACACGTTTTATTTGTGGGCCATATTTCATTATACTTTTTTAATTTACTGAGGGCCGTTTCAAAATGAGCCGCGGGCTGCATTTGGCCCCAGGGCCGTAGTTTGGACACCCCTCCTCTAAAGTAGAGTTCCCCCAAATGCTCTCACTAAATGGTGCTATATGTGGTATTTATATTCGTGGTCCTTCAGAGGGTGAATCATAATGCTTCTAGTATTCATTTGGCACCCCTCGCAGCACAGACACATATCTCTGAGACATTTAGGATAATGACAATCCGACGCATCTCGTAGTCGTCTTTTGACACGTTGGATGCAGGTTTGACTTCATGTTGTCAGCAGCGACTCTGTGAGAAACACAGAGCAAGGGCTTCCTGCAAACCGCAGCTTCCTGTGACCCGAGAGGTCTCACTCTGCCTCGCTTTGCACCAACCACAGAAAGCTCAAAGATGCATTTCTGTGCACGGAAAAAAAGCCTTCAAGCTGCAGTCCATTTACCGTCTGTAATGTATATTTAGCGTCTCCAGAAACAACACAACCGCGGATTTGATTTAGTCAGCGTGGGAAACTTTCAGTCACTTCTTCTTCTTCTTCTGTGTTTTTCTATGTGTGTGTAAGAAAACAGGAAATACAGGTCTTGCTGGATTCAGAGGTCTGCGGTGGCTGTGATGGCAGGAAATGGAAAGACTGCATGCTGAACGTAGAGGAAACTCTTTTACACATGTTAGGTTTTGCATCCTTTTATCATTCTGAACTGACATTACACCCAACGAGGAAGCGTGAGCGCAGCAGGGGGAAACACAGGCGGTATGCAAATAGGGGGGTTTTATCTGCACCAGAAAAACATTCACTATGACAGTGAGGGTTGTTTTGGACATTTGGTTACACAGATAGTTTCTTTATTTGAAGAAGCAGTAGAGATCATACTGTTCATCTTGTGCTCTCTATATCCAATGCTCTCTGCTCATGGTAGTTCAAATCAGTCCACAGAGAGAACAGATGTGGCCACTTTCTGGTTAAAACTCACATTTATGACCCTGAAAATGTGGGAAATAGACTCTCAAAGACCCCCAAAAACACTCCTAAACTGTCCAAATCGGCCACGACATTTTTAAACTATTGTCAACATAGTAAGCTAACAGCAGAACATCTGTGAGCGATGTTTTGGACATTTGGAAATTCATAAGTGTTGGATTAAAAAAAGAAAGTCCTGCTGGTACCGGACTTCTCCTAAAAGAAGCTGTAGTTTAATTTAAAATGTGTTTTATGAGAAAGTATTATAATTATGACCTTTTAATGGCCAAAAAAAGGTCAATATAACCACATTTTCTTTGCCTTATGTGTAATTTATATACGTATATTTGAAATGACACCTTCAGGTAAAGTCAGGAAGCATTCGGATAGACTTTCTTATAAAAGGTATTGCACATATATATTCCACAGAAGTTAAAATGACCGTTTTATTATCTAGACATGTATGAATATTGATAAAGTAGACAACAATTAAACTTGATTAAATGCAAAGTAGGTGTTATTTGTTTGCAGAGACCCTAGCTCAGGGGTGTCAAACTCAATTTCATCGTGGGCCACATCAGAATTATGGTTGCACTCAAAGGCCCGGTTGTAAATTTAAGACTATATAAATATACCTATATATATATATATTTAATATATATCAAATAATGTATTATATTACATTATTGCCTCTGCATTGGATTATTATCGGATAGGGTAATAACTTCATAATTAACTACGTCTGAAAGCAGAAGTCTAGGGCAAATAAGTGCAAGTCTTTTCAGTGAGAATGTCACAAAATGATTTAAAAAGAAAAGAAAAAGGTAACATTTTGAAAAAAAAAAGGTCAAATTCTGAGAAAAAGTCCAATTCTGAGAAAAAGGCATATTCGGAAAAAAAAAAAGTCAAGTTCTGAGAAAAAGTCAACACAACGGCCTTCATCCCAGCTCTCCATGTATCTAGTTAGCAGCTCATCCCTTCAAACAGAAGCTTCAGATTAGGGATGCCAGAAACTGACCATGATCAAATTCGAAAATCGGACAGCCCTGGCGAATATTAATCGATTATTCGCCGCCTCGATTATGGAGACTGTAACGAATATTCGAAAAATCGAATAATCGCTGGCATCCCTACTGTACTTCAGATTGCTGATAAGAGGAAATATGAAGGTTTATTTCAAGCTTGTTATGTAATGAAGTTATTGGGCTTTTTTTAAGATTTGTTGACTTTAATTAACTGAATTCATTTGAAAAGTGGGCTCATTAACACATAAATACTAAGAAGTACAAGATATGACATGCACACGTTTTATTTGTGGGCCATATTTCATTATACTTTTTTTATTTACTGAGGGCCGTTTCAAAATGAGCCGCGGGCTGCATTTGGCCCCCGGGCCGTAGTTTGGACACCCCTGACCAAACAGAATGAAAGATCTCTGTATGGTGCATTCACCCTGACAGAGACTGGGGTTTGGAGACGAGGTGTTAAAGTTCAGCTTCAGAGGATCAAAGCGTCTGGAACCGTTTCCCAGCTGCAGACGAGGAGACGCCCCGGCTCTCAGAGAGGAGCTCAATGTTTACACACTTTGTCAAAATAAATCTTTACTTTAACGTCTGCTCACTATTTCTCTGCAGAGGACGGGGGCTCAGGTGGGATGGGGGCTCAGGGGGGACGGGGGCTCAGGGGGGACGGAGGCTCAGGTGGGACGGGGGCTCAGGTGGGACGGGGGCTCAGGGGGGACGGGGGCTCAGGTGGGACGGGGGCTCAGGTGGGACGGGAAGCTCAGGTGGGACGGGGGATCAGGTGGGACGGGGCCTCAGGTGGGACGGTGGCTCAGGTGGGACGGGGGCTCAGGTGGGACGGGGGCTCAGGTGGGACGGAGGCTCAGGTGGGACGGGAGGCTCAGGTGGGACGGGGGCTCAGGTGGGACGGGGGCTCAGGTGGGACGGGAGGCTCAGGTGGGACGGGAGGCTCAGGTGGG